GGACAAACAGGAGCTATGGGCTTTTGTTAGAAGATATAAATATCCCTTTTTGTTTGCATACATTGAAAGAAGTAGAGTTGTCGTTACTTTTATTTTTCCTTTTTTTAAAGTTATCATTTTAATAAATACCTTTCTAAAAATATACACATTAAATTACCTACTTGAGACAGTTTATAGTCCGCTATTAAGTCCAAGCGTAGACGTCGGGCAAACTTGAAACACTACGCTTAGGAAACTTTATTGTTCCCTTTTAGTTCTTCATTTATTTCCCTTTTTAGTCCTTGTCTTATCATATTATTTTTATCATATTTTCTTTTTAATAATAAATCCTTTAGGCAACGCTTAGCTTTCTACCGGCTCCTTTCTTTTCTTTTAATTAATTATTAATTATTTTCCTTCACCTCGTTTTTTGACAATGCTGTAAAAAAACTAAATAAGAAAAGTATGACATTGAGGATAATATAAATTTCTCAGTGTCAAGGAATTCTTTCGAGAGCGTTTCTTCTTCTTTTGGATATAGTTCTTGAGTTCCAATAAATAATAAACTCTTAAATAACAATAGATCTTTCTTCTTTTACACTAATACTTTCCCTCATCTAAAAAGATTGTCTATATAGTTCTCACGAAAGTATTTTAATCGATAGAGAAATTTTGAGTAAATTACTTCAAGTATACAGATAATTATTTTCTCTAATAGGCTTTGTTTTAATAATTAAAAAGCCCTGTATCTATGTATATTTTTATTATCCCAAAAAAACTATAGCAATTTTTGTTCTATTTCTGGAAATTTTATTTTTTAAAAACATTCTAGTGTCGATTAGCCTAAAAATACTAATTTATCAAGGAGATCTTAAATAAACCTCCAGTTTTATTTCAAAAATTATAACGAAATAATCGGTAAATTCTTTGTATACAAATGATAGCGCCGATTCTGTTATAAGCATATGTACAACTATGCTATGTACCACCCCAATATATATTATTGTGGCATCCCACATATCATCATGCCATGCCACGCATTAGGGCAACGACTGCTGGATATTCTTAAAGCTTAATTTTATTTTTTCTATTAGTTACTTATGCTTTCAAAAGTATATAAAGGGTTTATAGTTTATTTCTATAAGACCATTAGCAATAAAATAAAATTAACTGTCATCAATAAATATAAAAGGTAAGAGCTTCGAACTAGTCCCTATGTCACTATTTTATTGCTTATTTTCTCTACCTTCTTATATTTTATATAACAAGCAAAGATGAAAGACCAAATAAACAGTTTAACTGAACAGCTGCGTCTCCTCGAGATTGAAAACAAACAACTCAAGGCATAGCATCTGAACTATTTACATAAGATAGCACTACCCGAAACATACGACAGAAATAAAAGCAATTATCGTAGTTTTGCTAATTAGCGCAACCTAGTATTTTTCCTATATCAATACGAATGCCCTTCAGACAAGACCAATGTAGGATTGATATTTTCTCTTTTGACTGGAGATACACTGCACTGAACATTGCCTATGCTAAAAATAAACAATCCTGCAATGCATGATCATAGGCAATTTATGTTTGAATTTGCCAAAGTATTTAGCCGATCCCCAAAGTGGAAATACGACTAATAACTTAGACTGGAACGGGTCTGCACTTGTCTCACTGTTTGAAGAAGGTCTCAATGGTGAA